GAAGTAAGTCTTGCTCTGTGTGGTGGGCCCCTACACAGCTGATCCTCCAAGGTAGTCAGAGGCCAGTGGCTAGTAGGCACAGCCAGTCCTTGCAGCTGATCAGCCTGAGTAAGTCCCTCCCATTGATGTGCCAGCAGCAATCACGACTCAATTACAACAGAAGGGTGTATAGTACACACTAGGGGTGCACCTCAAGGGCCCAGCTGGGGTGATCAGGAAGACTGTGCCACTGGATCCAACATGACACCTACAACAACAGGCCACCCTACAAAGCCTAGGAGACATAGCAATTCTACCTAATACAGAAATAATCACAGGGAAGCAGCCAAAATGAAGAGACAAAGAAACATGTCCCAAATGAAAGAACACAACTCCAGGAAAAGAACTAAACAAAATGGAGACATGCAATCAATCTGATGCAAAGTTCAAAACACAGGTTATAAGGTTGCTCAAGGAACTTGGTGAGACATTCAAGGACCTTAGCGAGACCTTCAAGGAACTCAAGGAGACCTCTAAGAAACTTAGCGAGAACACTGACAACATAAAAAAGGACCAGTCAGAAATGAAGGAGGCACTAACTGAAATAAAGAATAATTTACACAGATTCAATAGTACAGTAGGTAAAACCAAGAAGCAAACCATCGATTTGGAATATAAGGAAGCAAAACACACCCAATCAGAACAGCAAAAAGAAAAAAGAATCCAAAAACATGAGGATAGTGTAAGGAGCCTCTGGGACAACTTCAAGCATGCCAACATTAGCATAATAGGGGTGCCAGAAGGAGACGAGGGAGCAAGAAATTGAAAACCTATTTGAAAAAATGACAGAAAACTTCCTTAACTTTGTGAAGAAAACAGATATACACGTCCAGGAAGCACAGAAAGTACCAAACAAGTTGAACCCAAAAAGTAGGTCCACACCAAGACACATCATCATCAAAATGCCAAAAGTTAAATACAAAGAGAGAACCTTAAAAGCAGCAAGAGAAAAGCAGTCTGTTACCTACAAAGGAGCTCCCATAAGACTGTCAGCCAATTTCTCAAAAGAAACTTTGCAGGCCAGAAAGGAGTTGCAAGAGATATTCATGGTGATGAAAAGCAATGACCTACAACCAAGATTACTCTATCCTGCAAAGTTATCATTTAGAATAGATGGATACATAAAGAGTTTCCCAGACAATAAAAACCTAAAAAAGTATATCACCATATAATAATGAAATGTTGAAGGGTCTTCTTGAAGAACAAAAATATGAACAATAAAATAGCAATTAATATATATCTGTCAACAATTAAATCTACAAACAAAATGAGCAAGCAGAACAGTAACAGACTCATAGATACAGAGAACTTTTTGCTGCTTGCCAGATTGGGAGGGGCGGGCTGGGGGGTGAGTGAAAAAGATGAAGGAATTAAGAAATAAAAATCGGTTGTTAGACTGATGAACCTCAAAGGGAAGAGGGGAGGGAGGGAGGGATGAGATAAACCAAAGAACTTTTATGTATAACCAATGGACACCGACAATAGTGTGGGGAAGGCAGGAGGGGGGCAGGATTGAGGAGGAAGGCATCAATGGGGAAAGAAAGGGGAGAACATCTATAATACTTTAAACAAAGATGAGTTTTAAAATATTTACAAGAATGCCGTTATGACTACTGGACTGTAATTTAAAAACATTATTTAGACTTAACTTCACTATGTTACCTGCACCTTCAAGATGCCTTCCTTCTATTGATGTAATCATTCATTCCCTTCCCTTTCTTTATAAATAAATACCGATTGCTTTTGTCTCCTAACTGGAACATTATTTGGGCTTCTGCCTGAATTAATGATTTCCAAATAGTTATTCTTATGTATCTCAATAATTGCTTTCTGCTTCTCACTTTAAAAGACCTTTTTGCCCTCTCTAGGTGCTCAGTTGGTTAGAGCATCGTCCCAATACCCCAAGGTTGTGGGTTCAACCTCTAGTCAAGGCACATTAAAAAAAAAAAATCAACCAATGAATGCATAAATAAGTGGAACAACAAACTGATGTTTTTCTCTTTCTCTCAAATCAATAATATAAAAAAGACCTTTTTATTTTTAAGTTAACAGTTCCCACATCCTACCAAAGAGTACAGTATAAAAACAAAGAAAAAAAGAGTAACTTTACAGTGGAGCAACTTGATCACAAGACCTCAGCCTGGTGATCAAGGATACATCAACTTGATAAGTCATGGTAGAGCTTTTACCCTTGATTTGACATGACCAAATGACACTTTACCTCTGTAGTCTTCCTTCAAGAAACCCATAATCCTCCCAGTCTAACCATGAGACAATTCTCATTTGAGGGACATTCTACGAAACACCTGACTTTTACTCCTCAAAACTGTCAAGATCATCAAAAACAAGGATAGTCTGAGAAACTGTCACAGCCAAGAGGAGCCTAAGGAAACCTGCTGAGTAAGTGAAATGTGGTCTCTTGAAACAGAATACCTGTATGAGGAGAAAACATGATGAGCAATTATCAAAAGACAAATGATATAGCAAAAAATAATAGTTTGTATCTCATATAATAAACATGCATTATTATCCCTATTCTGTAAAGCACTAACTGGACGCTGAAAAAAAAAAAGCCAGAAACCTAGGAGCAAAGTGGGCAATAGGTATGAACAAAGAGTTCACTGACATATAAATACAACTTTCAGATACATGAAAAAATATTCAGCCTCACTCATTAAGAAAATTGCAGATAAACACTACATAAAATATCACTTTTTACCTATCCGTTCACAAAAGTTGAACCACACAATATATAAAGAATAGCTATGGAGAAACAAGCACTCTCATGTAGTATAAAGGGAATACAAAATGATATTATAATCCCACCAAACTGACCAAGTTTATCAATTTGTATTCACCCTTTGATCCGGCAACCCCACTTCTGGTAATTAATCCGATAGAACAAATCTGTATGTACAAGGTTATTCATTAAAACATGGCCCAGCCGGAGTGGCTCAGTGGATTGAGCATCATCCCATGGACTGACAGACCCCAGGTTCCATTCCCAGTCAGGGCACATGCCCTGGTTTCAGGCTCGATCCCCAGTAGGCAGCCGATTGATATATTTCTCTCACATCAACGTTTCTATCTCTCTCCCTTCCTCTCTCTTGAAAATATCAATAGAAAAATTAAAAACAACAACATGGCTTGTAGTTGAAAAAGGTAGGAAGTAGTTAATAACTAGTTAAATAAACTTTGGAACATCCGCAATTGAATTACTATACAGGTATAACACAAAAAGCAGCAGCAATCCCATGTTCTGTTAGAGAGAGCTCTCAGGGAGAGAATGAAAAAAAGTGGAAAAAGACAAGGAAATAGTCTGAATAGACTTGCTATTCAGAGTGTGGTTCTTTTAACAGAATTAGCTTCATTTGGGAGCTTATTGGAAATATAGAATTCAGGGCCCCACCCAGCTCTACTAACCACATCAAAACCTGCATTTTAACAAAATGCCAGTGATGTACAGGTGCATCTGAATTTCAGAAACATTTAAGGATAATGGATTTCTTTTTAAATAGAGAGGACATACAAGAATATACACGTGTATTTTCTTTTAACTGAATAAAGAAACAATGGGAGGCCAAACAAAACACTATTAATAATGGATAGCAACTGTAGGACAACCATACACTCCAGTTTGTCTGGGACTATTTCAATATCTGCCAGTTGTCACAGCATAATTGTAGAACCGCTTTCACTCTCAGTGAAAGTGCCTCAGTTTAAATGATAAATAAATGTCACCATACCTAGATGGAAGTGTGAGTTTTTAAGTTACTATCTTTATATCACTTTTTAAACCATGTTAATATATTACCAATTCAAAAATATTTCATTTTTAAAAAGATAGTACCGGAAAAATAGGTAAACTGAAAAGAGCAATGGGCCAAGAATAGATAAACAATGAATAAGCAATAACCCAGTGATAAGTAATGTCTGGAACAAAAGGAAAAGATACTTCATGGGGGATAGAAAAAAATTCTATCAGAGTTAGGAAAAGATAACTAGGAGGGCAGTGTCACAGACAACAACAGAAACTTTCAAAACAGGCTATATAGATAAGAGTGTCAAATACTGCAGAGGGATCAAGTAAGACAATTCAACAGGATTTTACTACAATTTGGTGGCCTTTTCCAGAACGATTCAAGTAAGCAGTGAAGGAACCAGACTGCATTCATTAGATTGAAATGTAAATGACAACCCTGGCTGGTTTTGCTCAGCAGTTAGAGCATCAGCCCGCGGACCAGGGAGTCCTGGGTTTGATTCCAGCCAAGGGCACATACCTGGTTGCGATTCATCCCCAGCCCAATGGGGTCGTGCGTGTGGCAACCAATCGATGTGTCTCTCTCACATCAATGTTTTTCTCTGTCTCTCTCTCTCTCCCTCCCACTCTGTCTGAAGATAAATGTAAAAGTGTCCTCAGGTGAGGATAAAAAAAAAAAAAAATGTAACTGACATATACAGAAACAAGAGTCAGAGCTGTCTACTACTTAACCTAGAAATACAAACCAGCTGACACAAACATTTATGGGGAGTTATTTTGGGGACATAAAGTCCCTCCATTCAGCCAGATCTTCAAGGTTTTATTCCTGGATCAAGCAGGTCCATGACAGAGCTGTGGACTCAAACCTCATTGTTAGGTGTCCTGAAAAGTATATGCACTGAGTTCTGCCTTATCATTGTGCTGTTTCCATCAAAAAATGATTATAGGCAATATAATGCATTTATTTCAGTGTTGTTATTAGAAAGATCAGAGAAAATTTTACAACAACTTGGATAACTGTAGAATTAAACATCTTGCATCTAATTTTACCAACTGTCCTACTTTGGATTTGCTACTCTTGTTACATTTCCTTTAATGTAAAATTATGCCTATTTCTACTTTTTCATTTTAAAAATATGAATCCTTATAAACTTTAGAAAACACATGTTAAAACAAGTGGAAATAATAAACAAAAACTCACCTGGGATTTGTTCATTTTCTGTTCTTGGCGGAGTAGGCAGTGCTGAGGAAGAAGGAAGAAGGAAGTCAGGCGGACTTGACCTGTCTTTCAGTTTCTGGATTCACCTGCCTACACAGCTCCACACACAAGATACTTACGTGTCCACATGTGGCTCCAATATATGTTGAGCTTAGACATGATACTTTTCATTGAGTGAATGTAATATTTGTTTCTTACTGATTTATTACCAATTTAGGTTCTGTGACACAAAAATTGAAAACATAAGATGAGTTTAACATAGAACAGTGATCTAAAGAAGGAAGCACTATGGATTTGTTAAAACTGATATTGTAGAGAAAAAACCCTCAAGCTATGTTGTTTACCTATTTACCTTCTAACACCATTAATCCCTTGAGGTCAAATAATCCAAGAAACCTCTGAAAAAAGGGATGGGAATGTTTAAGACAAGGTAAATTTTTAAATATTGGTTGTAACATGCTTACAATTTTCAAAAGGATCTTTTAATAAGAAGCTTTGAACTTACTGACAAAATGAGCAATAGCAGTAGGAATCTGCAGACCTAATTTAATCTTGGTTCTGCCATTAACAAATTGCATTATCTGAGCCAGCCACCTTCTCTAATTTTTTAAAAAATTTCAAAATAAGGTCAAGTCAGATAATCCAAAAGGACCTGCATGCACTACGATCCTGTGTGTGTATGTATAAGGCCAGGAGAGCGGGATCCTCAGCATCTCTCTAGATGCCATCAACAATCACTGCGACACTGCAAGCAGCTCACCTCTGTAAAGAGTGAACAGAATCAACCAAGAATGTGGGAAGTAGGGGGTATTTAGGGAAGAGTTATGACAGCAAATTGCTTAGCTATCGCCTATGAGCCTTTCATCCTTGATTGCAACATCGCAAACTCTCCAAAGTGGTGACATTTTCTGTATAGCCTGCGTGCCCACCCCTCTCAGCTCCAGCTCACCTCTCTCTTCTTAAATTTGTCCCAGACCTTCCACGTCACACAGCCTTCCATGCCTTCAGGATACTGTGTCATGATTATACATAATAAATAACAAATGAAAACATAATAAATAACTTAGGACCTGGAGAATGTAGCGCCAGGAAAGGGCCCTGGTGTCTAGCTCGTACAGCCCTCTCCCTCTTCCATTTCCCTGAGTTAATTGAGACCTGGAGGCCCTAAAGCCTGTCCAAGCTCCAGCGCATGTGTTCCATACGTAACAAACAAATACAAAGCCGCTAACACAATGTAGGTGCCCAGAACAACAAAATGCGGCAAGTATTCCTACGCCGCATGTTACAGATAAGATATCCGAGGCTCTCGTGGGCTCCTGCCTGGCGCACCCGTTTTCCCACGGCCGCCACCTCCTCGGAAGCTCAGCGCCCACGCAGCGCACGCACACTCGTCGCGCACGCGTACTCCTTCCCCACAGCCCCACTCCCACCTCGCGGGCCCAGCACGCTCGTCACGCACGCGCACTGCCCGCCGGCGGCCACACGAGGGCGCCACCCGTTCAGCACAGGGGTTAAACACCCGTAGACCCCGCAACCCGGCGCGCCCGCGTCCCACACCGACCCCGGCGCCTTTGGACGGAGAATCCCTGCCCGGCATCCCTTCAGCTCTAGCTGCCGCAGGCGCCTGGGGTCCCGCCCGGTCCGTGGGGCTCCTCCCTATCGCGGAACGGTCGCACCTTGAGCCGCGCGGGGCCCCCTCGGCCCTCGCTCCCACCCTCTGGGGCTCACCGGCAGCTGCCTCGCCGCGTGGTCCCGGAGGCCTGGGACTGTTTCCCCCGGAGGGTGGAGGCCTGGGAAGGACGGGCCGAGAGAAGGCGGGGATGCACATGCGCAGAGGGAGGACTCGGCGCGGCGGGCGGTGGAGCGCGGGCACTGGTCTCCAGACAGCCTGGGCTGGAAAAGGGCTCTATCCAAGGAAACGAGGCCTCGCTCGCTCCGAAATTGTAAAAGTAAGCTAGTAATGGTGCCTAGTTAACAAGGGTTTTATGAATACACATTGTAAAAGCATTTAGGACGGTGTCTGGCACGTACATTGTTAAGTACATTTCTCCAGAGTCCCTTTCCCAGCATACACCATGCCTGCTGCTTTAGACATCAGCTGGAGGTCCTCTGCCTTGCAGACAGCTGAGAGACTCCTGTCTGGATCCAGGATTGTCTTTCCCCAGAGATGTGCATCAAAGCACTGTCCCTTTCAAGCCCAAGCCAAGAGAAGGGAAAGGTGTGCATGAATTTCATGTCTCCACGTGAACAGTTATTTTACTTTTTAACACTTAGAAAATAAATTTATCTAAACTAATATAATATTCATGACCATACTTACTTTTTAGAATGAGGAATAAAGCAAGCTACCAATTCAGTATTAATAATAAAAATTGCTCATATGTAAGAAACTTCATATGAAGAGGAGGACACACATCATTTCTCAGAACCAGCCAAAATTTACCTGGGGCCTGATATATATTCTTTTATGTGCACAGCTTCCTAACATTTTTAACACAGTATGATCATATGGTCATATTATTATTTTTAAATATTTTTATTGAATTTATTAGGGGTGACATTTGATTACTAAAATTATATAGGTTTCAAGTGTATAATTGGGGGGCATATTATTTTATGATGCCCCCCCCCCAATTATTAAGGGAACTCTTTTTGGTCAATGTCATTTTTTTAACTTTTTTTTTAAATAACTTCAGATATGTAGAAGAGTTACGGAGATAGTTCCCATATACTCTTTACTCAGCTTCTGCTAATATTAACATTTTACATAACCATAGTACATTTATTAAAACTAAGAAAGTAACCCAGGGACAATTATATAACTGTAGTAGACAGTTAGATAGGCATGAGTAGAGCAAAGAGAACGGGCAGAGGAAGATCACTAGGGCAAAAAGCACCAGGTGGAGTGCAACAGGCAAAACTGAAAAGACAAGCATCTCACCCCTAGGATGACCTTTCCTCCCTTTGAATATCATTGGTCATGCAGTTGGGACCCTCCCCTGACCTTTCCTCTCCTAGCATGTTTCTAGTCATGTGGTAGACCCCATTAAAGAAGGAACAAGGTGGCTGGCGAAGAGCCTCCTAAGACTCATTCAAATGCTTGCACCACCACTCCCTTAAGCATTAAGCCCTAGCGATAACATCTAGGTCTTAGGTTCTGTTCCAGTACCAGGCCTAGAAAAGGAGCAAGGCCCAGTGAGGGGACACCATAACATGGCTTACAGGACCAGCTGCAGTGACTGATGATCCTCTGCCCTGGTGCTAACTAATCATTGAACACCATCAACCTGAAAGGTCACACCTGGAAAGCTGAAGAATATTCTATTGAGAGCCTCCTCTGGAACCTCCCCTAGGGTTCCTACTTTTGGAAAGCAAAGAAAAACCCTCAAAACAAAGACCTCAGCATGCTTTTTCTCTCTCTGGAGCTTTCCTGTGCCTTTCGCCCTCTCCTACCCCCAGGCACTTTCTCTCTGCCTTTCTTTTTCCTAAGATCCAAGGGCCTTTCTTTTACCTCTATTACTTGTTTCCTGAGACTACACAGCCCAGCTGGCTCACTTCTCCTACCCCTGTGACTTTATAAATAAACTTTATGTTTTAATCCTCACCTGAGATATTTATCTTTTAATTTAATTATTTTTCTGTTTATATTTTCTTTTTTTATTTATTATTTTTGTTACAGGTGTTTCTCATTTTTTCCCGATTGACACCCTCCTCCCCTAACCCCCATCCCTAGCTTTGTTGTCTGTGTTTCTATGTTCATTGATCATGCATACATGCATGTAAGTTCTGTGGTTTATCTCTTCCCCCACAAACCCCTCCTCCATTGAGACTTGTCAGTCTATACCTAACCTCTATGTCTCTGGGTTAATTTTGTTCAGCAGTTTGTTTAGTTCATTATATTCCACAAATAAGTGAGATCATGTGATATTTATCTTTCTCTGCTTGGCTTGTTTTGCTTAGCATAATACTCTCCAGGTCCTTCCATGCCATCTCAAAGGATAAGAGATCTTTCTTTCTTACAGCTGCATAGTATTCCATTGTGTACATGTACCACAGCTTTTTGTTTTTTATTATTTTTTTAAATTTTTTAATTTATTTTTTTGTTATAGATGTTTCTCCTTTTTTACCCCATTGGCAACCCCCCTCCCCACCCCACCACCACCCCGTCCCGGCTTTGTTGTCCATGTCTATTGGTTATGTATACATACTTATAAGTTCTGTGGTTTATCTCTACACCCCCACCCCCTCTTCTGAGGGATGTCAGTCTGTGCAACAATGTTTCTGGGTCTACCGTATTCCTCAGACTGTTATGTTCATTATATTCCGTATATAAGTGAGATCATGTGGTATTTGTCTTTTTCTGCTTGGCTTATTTCACTTAGGATAATGCTTTCCAGGTCCCTCCATGTAGTCTCAAAGGATAAGAGATCTTTCTTTCTTACAGCTGCATAGTACTCCATTGTGTATATGTGCCACTGCTTTTTTATCCATTCGTCTACTGATGGACACGTGGACTGTTTCCAGATCTTAGCTATTGTAAATAGTGCTGCTCTGAACATGGGGGTACATATATTCTTCCTGATTGGCGTTTCAGGCTTCTTAGGGTATATTCCTAGAAGCGGGATCACTGGGTCAAATGGAAGTTCAATTTTTAATTTTTTGAGGTAACACCATATTGTTTTCCATAGTGGCTGCACAAGTCTGCATTCCCACCAGCAGTGTACTAGAATCCCCTTTTCTCAACACCCTCACCAACACTTGTCGTTTGATGATTTGTTGATGGTGGCCATTCTGACAGGTGTGAGGTGATACCTGATTGTTGTTTTAATTTGCATCTCTCTGATGATTAATGATGTTGAGCATTTCTTCATATGGTTCTTGGCCATTTGTATGTCCTGTTTGGAGAGGTGTCTATTTAGCTCCTCTGCCCATTTTTTAATTGGGTTCTTTGTCTTCCTTTATTTGAGTTGTATGAGCACTCTATATATATTGGAAATTAACCCCTTGTCTGATATATCATTGACAATGATGTTCGCCCATACAGTGGGTTGCCTTTCCATTTTGATGAGTGTTTCTTTTGCTGTGCAGAAGCTTTTTAGTTTGATGTAGTCCCATGTGTTCATTTTTTCCTTTGTTTCTGTTGCCTTAGGTGATGTATCAGTAAAAATTCTGCTCCGTATGATGTACAAAATTTCCTTGCCTACATTTTCTTCTAGAATTTTTATGGATTCACAAGTCACATTTAAGTCTTTAATCCATTTTGAGTTTATTTTTGTGTACGGTGTAAGTTAAAGGTCTAGTTTCATTTTTTTGCATGTAGCTGTCCAATTGTCCCAACACCATTTATTAAAGGGTCTGTCTTTACTCCACTGTATGCTCTTACCACCATTGTCAAATATTAATTGAACATATTGCCTTGGGTCCATTTCTGGGTTTTCAGTTCTGTTCCATTGGTCTATATGCCTGTTCTTGTGCGAGTACCAGGCTGTTTTGATTACAGTCGATTTGTAATATAACCTGATATCTGGTATTGTGATCCCACCTACTTTATCCTTCTTTTTCAAAATTGCTGTGGCTATTCGGGTACTTTTTTGGTTCCATATGAACCTTTGAAGTATTTGTTCTAGTTCTGTGAAATATGTCGTTGGTATTTTGATGGGGATTGCATTGAATCTATAGATTGCTTTGGGTAGTATGGACATTTTAATGATGTTAATTCTTCCAATCCATGAACAAGGTATGTGTTTCCACTTTTTTATATCTTCCTCTATTTCTTTTTTCAATCACCTGTAGATTTCGGTGAAGAGGTCCTTTACTTATTTGGTTAAGTGTATTCCTAGGTATCTTAATTTTTTTGCCGCAGTGGTAAATGGGATTGTATTTTCAGTTTCTCTTTCTGTGAGTTCATCATTGGTGTATAAGAATGCCGTCAATTTCTTGACGTTAATTTTGTATCCTGCTACTTTTCCAAATTCATTTAGTAAGTCTAGTAGATATTTGACGGAGTCTTTAGGGTTTTCTATGTATAATACCATGTCATCTGCAAATAATGACAGTTTAACTTCCTCCTTTCCAATTTGGATCCCTTTTATTTTTTCCTCATGTCTGATTGCTGTGGCTAAAACTTCCAGTACTATGTGAAATAAGAGTGGCAAAAGTGGGCATCCCTGTCTTGTTCCTGTTCTTAATGGAAATGATTTTAGTTTCTGCCCATTGTGTATGATGTTGGCTGTAGGTCTTTCATATATGGCCTTTATTATGTCGAGATATGAGCCCTCTATTCCCACATTGCTGAACGTTTTTTTCAGAAATGGATGCTGAATTTTGTCGAATGCTTTTTCAGCATCTATTGATA